TGGGTATCCTGAAAGCCAGAGTGACTATGGCTATGAAAGATGTGATATTCCAGGCTGCTTTAAATTTTTTCAAATTCTAGCACTAAACACCGGTTTCTGAGAGTACCTGGGCAGACCTCTCCATTCCAACCTTAAAGAGGATAATATCCTATTTACTCCAGCTCTACTAAGTGGGAATTTTATTTTTTCACCCAGTGACCAAAGCCTTACTAGTACGTAGGTCCCAAAACAAGGCTTTTTTCTTATCATCCCTATTCCAAGCCCTGGCTGTTTTCTTCTGGGCCTGGGGTCCTGCCTTCACTGCCTCTGTTTCTTCTTATCTCAGCCTGCAGCCTCTATGACTTCTTATCTCAGGCTGTGCACACCTTCAGGCTTGCTCCACAGTGGCTGACACATTCTTAAACACTCTCCTATTGCTAATTATTGGGGAGCCAGTTAGTACAGGGATTGAAAGCTTGTGCATGGAAGTTGAGGAGACACAGGACAAGTTATAAGTGCTCTTAACTTACCTTATAAGTATATTATTAGGATTAAAATGAGACGATGTATGTTTAGTACCTTATGGCCAGCATTGCTACCTTGTCAGATACCCAAGATTCTTCCAGCACTTTGTGAAATGGAACCCCTTATTGTTGGATGTGATAATGTACCAAACCACAGAGACTACTGTTGCCTGTTTTCTGGCATATAGGTTAGCCAAGGAGATGTAGGCAGAAGTGTTTCATTGGGCTGGCAGGAAAGCTCTTTAAAAGTGGCTGACCTAATTGGGAGGCTCACCCTTGTGCTGGTTCCCTCCCTCTCCTTCTTGTGAATATCATGCTGGGGCTAGAGCTTTCGGATCACATGTCACATGGCAACCCTGAGGACGGAAGGCCTGCCCTAGGGAAGGTGGGAGAGTTAGAAGGAATTCAGTTCCGCCATGACCATGGAGCTACCATACCTGCTCACCTTGGTATTCCTTTACCTGGGAGAAAGAAACCATCTTGTTTATGGCCGGGCACTGTGGCTCACGCCTGTAATCCTAGCTCTTGGGAGGCCGAGGCGGGCAGATTGCTCAAGGTCAGGAGTTCAAAACCAGCCTGAGCAAGAGCGAGACCCCGTCTCTACTATAAATAGAAAGAAATTAATTGGCCAACTGATATATATATAAAAAATTAGCCGGGCATGGTGGCGCATGCCTGTAGTCCCAGCTACCCGGGAGGCTGAGGCAGAAGGATCCCTTGAGCCCAGGAGTTTGAGGTTGCTGTGAGCTAGGCTGACGCCATGGCACTCACTCTAGCCTGGACAACAAAGCGAGACTCTGTCTCCAAAAAAAAAAAAAAAAGAAACCATCTTGTTTAAAACCATTTTATTTTGTGCCTCCGGTATCAGAAGCTGAATTTAATTCCTAACTGATACACACATGGATGTTAGTCAAGATGATTACTCTCTAACTCTGTGGGACTGTCTGCTTCTTGGGTCCGAGCCATTTCCAGGCTAAGCTCTGGTTAAAACATCAAGGAAATAAACTCTGCAGCAAATTCTAGGGGTCTATGGAGGCCATAATTGGCCAGGATTTAGTTTAGTTGGTACCTTTAGGAGGACTCTTCCTCCCCTTTGTTTGTCAAAATACTGACTAGAAAGAATGCATCCTTATTCAAGGAAATCTCCGCACTGTCTATGTGTTATGAATTTGAAATTCAGCCCTGCTCTGTTATAATGTGAAGGTGTGGAAGATGACATTAAAACTAAAGGCATGGGCTGGGCGCGGTGGCTCATGCCTATAATCCTAGCACTGTGGGTGGCCGAGGCAGGCAGATTGCTCGAGGTCAGGAGTTCGAAACCAGCCTGAGCAAGAGCGAGACCCCCGTCTCTACTATAAATAGAAAGAAATTAATTGCATAATTAATATATATAGAAAAAATTAGCTGGGCATGGTGGCGCATGCCTGTAGTCCCAGCTACTCGGGAGGCTGAGGCAGGAGGATTGCTTGAGCCCAGGAGTTTGAGGTTGCTGTGAGCTAGGCTGACACCATGGCACTCACTCTAGCCTGGGCAACAAAGTGAGACTCTGTCTAAAAAAATAAAAAATAAAGGCATGAAGAAAAATGAGTAATCAGGAAAAAGAAGGTTTTCTTACTAAGATTTTTCCACTTTTACTAAAAATATTTTTTAAAGGTACATTTCCATAAACAATTAAAATTTCATTCCTTCATTTAAAAATGTTTTAGGCCGGGCGCGGTGGCTCACGCCTGTAATCCTAGCACTCTGGGAGGCCGAGGCGGGCGGATTGCTCAAGGTCAGAAGTTCAAAACCAGCCTGAGCGAGACCCCGTCTCTACCATAAAAATAGAAAGAAATTAATTGGCCAACTAATATATATAATATAAAATCAGCCGGGCATGGTGGCTCGTGCCTGTAGTCCCAGCTACTCGGGAGGCTGAGGCAGGAGGATCACTTGAGCCCAGGAGTTTGAGGTTGCTGTGAGCTAGGCTGATGCCACGGCACTCACTCTAGCCTAGGCAAGAAAGTGAGACTCTGTCTCAAAAAAAAAAAAAAAAATGTTTTATAAGGACAAATGAAGACAATAATGTATAATAATCTCTTTTGAATATGCAGAAAAGCCAATGAATTTTTATGCCAGACAATTTTGTATAAAGCAGGGCCATTGCTTAAAGAATTTTTGAATTGGTATTGCTTTACTTATTTAAAGAAGTATATGGATCAAAATAATGGAATTATGAAGGTAACAATTATTTTTCACAGCCACAGAAATTAAAAGAATTTTTCTTTGGAAAGATGCATATTCACCTCTGTAGTCTTAGTAAATAACATTTTAATACACAAATATCTTACCTTCAAATAAACCTTTATTCTAAATATTGATATTCATTAATTACATAGAGATTAGTGTAGGTGATAGTCTTTCCTCCTATCTTATAGTGCTTTATATTTCAATTAAATTTAGAAGTTCTTTCAATCTATCACTGCTGAATGGGCAATCCAGCATACAAACATGTATGTACTTATTTATTTTTATTAAAAAAAGCATGCATCTGAGAATAGAATAATTTATAGAAACACATATATGCATGCCTGACATTTATAAAGCTGTAAATCATAAAGGCAAAATATTATTACATATACTATTCTCAGCATGCAAAGTGCTGAGAATAGTAAACACTTAAAAAAACACTTAAAAAAACCTTCGGTCTTAAAACTCTGATAGTTTTACAAGTCAGTTTTAATCAGTAACAATGGGACCATTTCTCATATGAGGCTTCCAGGTTGAATTTATATATTGCTGGAACAAAAGCCAAGTGATAAATATGGCATGTGATAATCTAACTGACTTCCCAAGGAACCACTTTGCATTGCGTGCAAAATGAAAGAGATCCAAACACAGTATTTTTTTACATTATTTTCAGGTAACTTTAAATATAAGATACACATGTATTAAATTATTACTGGTCTACCAGATTATTTTTTAACTTGTTAAATACCTATAATTCTTGTTTTTCCTGAAAGCTAGCATTTATTAAACATGCAGAATTTTTATATGTTCCTGATGTTATTTATAATTGCAGAGGTTTCATCTAAGTCAGAGTAATACAATGCTCACTCTCAACTGATTTTTACACTGGGAAAAATGTTGCTTACCATAAGGGAGTAGCTACATATCATTCGTTTAGTCCTTTACATGCAGACCAAAGAAATGAAAACTGGAAGAATATGCTTTTTGTAAAAGTCCCATTACTTATGTACAAAGTACTAAGGCCAATGATGACAATGTGATGTGAACTGAAGAGTATGATTACCTGAGCCCTCTGCAGCTGTAGTCCAATTGTTAAAACACACACACACACACAAACAAAACAAACCAAAAAGTCCTATCCACCTTTGGTTGTCTTAAACAGTTGTATATGGTACTTCTAATATTATACAGTGCCACAATTAAAGTCTTCGTGCTTATTTTAAGCACTTTGGGTTAGAAATTTAACTTTTTCAGATATTCAAAAAGAGCATAGAGCATATAGAGAGTTCATAGAAAGCTCTATTCTACATACTTGTATGGATTTTTTTTTTTTAAGAGATGGGGTCTTGCTCTTGCCCAGGCTGGTCTAGAACTCCTGAGCTCAAGTCATCCTTCCGCCTCGGCCTCCCAAAGTGCTAGGATAACAGACATGAGCTCCGCGCCTGGCCTAATTGTATGAATTGTTATTTCATGAGCATGACATGTTATTTAGAAAAGGTAGTAGGGTGAAAAACAAAACAAAATAAAATACCAGGTTACATACAAATAACAACCCCAGAAGAGGACTAAGAAGAAAATAAAATCTTGGTTCCAGAAAAGACAGTACCAAGGCAATACCAAAGAGCTGCTCAAAAAAAAAAAAAAAAAAAAAACGAAAACAAAAAACAATACACAATTCAGGCAACTGGTTACTCAGGTTATACAATTTGACTGATTTCACTCCACATTAATACACAGTAATTCTTCTGGTTGTTGTCATATTGCAGAAATTTCAGAAATGTGTCTGTTTAAGTGAAGTTGCTCTGGGCCACCCGTTTTAGCCACGAAATGGAAATCCCAGAATTCATCCCGAGTGCCTCTGGAATGTGAAAATGTCTCATGTGTTCGTCGAATTCAGCATAAAATTTCAATGTTTCCCTCACAATGAGAAATTTCATCAGTGTCTTCCCAGCGTGAGGCCGTGTCTTATCACGCCACCACATTCAGAATTGGTACTAATTCTCACGGAAGCTGAAACTAAAGTCTACGTTTTATGTTTACTCAACATACGGCCTTTTCCCAGAGACGGTGTGAATTGATGGTTTAAACAACCGAAATAAAAGAATAGACAGAAGTATTTTTTTTTTTGTTAATTGCTAGAGCTGCAGTGAAGAGCAGCAGCATCTGCCACCCTGAAAATATCCGGGCTGATCGAAGCCGTGTGTGTGCAGTGGATAACAGCACCCTTCCTAGAGAGAGGGACGTCACATCATCGAGCTGAGTCACAAATGGATATTTTTACGTATTTATTAAAACGAGTTTCCTGAGGAGTTCAACTGGGCAATGGTGTTCACCTAGTTTGCTTAAGATGCACAAAAATGCAGTACAACTTACAGATCTTTAAAATATTCTAAAGTCAGATTTTGCTCTGATTGGCTATCCAATTAGGGCAAACTAATGAGATTTTTTTTTTAAAAAAAGTAGCAATAATCTGAAACATAAAATTAAGTTTGGGCTTGAAAGCAACTCTTTAACTTGTCATAAATACACGATGCCTATTGACTGAATATCAATCAGAAGACACAGGGTGCTAGAATTGATGCTTGACTGTTTTGACTCACACTGACTTCATATTATCTTGCCAGAATATACTCTCTTTTTAAAAAGTGCCATGTACACTGTGCAATTAAAGGATTGGTCAGATAGAAACTCAATGACACGTTGCTGAAATTTGCTTCTTCTGAGATTTCAAATTATTTAAATTACTGAACGAGAATATTTTTTATCATGTCAGAAAGAATAGCTTCATCAGAGTAAGATTCCAGGACCCCGTATACTTCTCTGAACTTGTGAAGTTCAGTATTTGATAGGGTTGGATCGAATTTGAAGGCCTCAATGTTCCCTTTCCTAGAGAGAAAAAGGACACGGAGCCTCTTCTGAGAGTCAAAATGCTGATGAGAAACAAACTGAAAGTAGCAAACATAGCAGAAAAACAGACAAGTCATGACTCAGAAAACAGTGCTTTTGGCATAAATATCTGAGAGTCAGCTGTGGACTACAGGTCGAATATGAGCATGCGCGATAGCAACGAAAACACAAAGCCATCTTCGCATGTGCTGACGAGAATATGACAGACAAATCTGTTGAGATTAAATGCTATGAAGAGTCTTTTGTCTCCACTCTGTGCTGTCCCAGGATAGCATGATAGCAGTGGTTATCACAACCAGTTACATCTTTCATCATATAGAAAGGCCTCTCTGGTTTAGAACTCTGCCCTTAAAATGATCGGCATAGTTCAGAAGGCAAACGCTTGTTTAGGGGATCCTAAAAAGTGGGGCAATTTTTTCTTATGTATTAAGGCAGACTTTCATACACAGGACCCCCAGTTTAGCAGCAAATGTTTTTTTAACCCCATATCCCCTCAGGTTATATGTGGGTAGTAAAATAAATAGTTTTCCTTCTTTGTTTCTGTCCTGGAATAAAATATCAGGTGTCCTAGGAGAGCTAAGGACTCCCAATTTGCTAGATGGCTTTAAAGTTCCCAATTAGACAATTAAGGATTACGTGGAGATTGATTTTATGTGAGTGGGAGTGGGCAATGGGCCCTTCCGCACTTGGCGCCATTGCTTTTAGCATGAGGATGTCAACCAATATCACACAGGATGTCACCACTTGCTGATGGCCTGATGGTGACCTCCTGGAGTGCTGTTTGAGGACATGAGGCTTGTCCCAGTTTGGCAGGAAAGAATGCTGAGCACAGTGAGTGACATCTGCCACAGGCACAGATATTTCCTGTTCCTCTTCTGTTTGTGTCAAACCACCTTAGAGATCTCTGAGACACAGAGAGGTGACAGATGACACCCCTGCACACACTCCCTCCCTACATGTCACCCGCCAGTGAGGCGTGGAGAAACAAGAAAGAGCTTTGGAGAGATGTTGACAAGTAGAGGTGAGTTCAGATGAGGAAAACATTTGTTCTTTCATGGAAGATTCAAAGTTCCCGAGGGTGACTGGACCTGGCTGATCTGGGTCTACAGGTCCCCAAACAACATCTCATCGGGACAGTGGACCCTCTGGCTGCGTCACGTTGGCCAGTGGAGCTCACCACCCCTCTGGGAAGGCGTAGACATTGAGACACTTGCTTTGTTGGGTGTCCTGTCTGTGACATAACACCCCTTGAGAAAAGTCCCAGCTGACTATAATTTACCTGTCAGAGAACTTGAATAGTCTGAGGAAATTATCCAAAGCTAGTTAGGTAATAAGGTGGCCCAGAAAGAAAGCACAGATAACACAGCTTCCTGATGTAAACCACGGGAATGAAGGGAAAGGTAACAGGGACTTAGCCTGGCCACAGCTGGCCCAGCGCACTGGCCGTGGACAGAGAGGAGGGAGAACGTCATAGGCTCCTCCCCCACCTCGCAGGCAGGCGTGGACGGCAGCCAGGCCTCCTCCCAGTGCTCCTCGGCCACACCCTCCTCCCAGGACAGGTGAGGCCATCATTAGGAAGAGTGGGCGTTGGAAGAAACAGCAAAAGGTCCTTGTGTCTACGTTGATTTGAAATTAATTAAATTCGTCTCCTCTTCATCCTCTGTTGGCCCAGCAGGCTCCCTCAGGGCTGCTTCTCTTGGAAGACATCAGTAACTGTGCAGCTTTAGGATTCATTATCACTGTAAGGAAAACAAAACAACACAGGATAACAAGTCTATTTCCAAGAAGCTATCGAGAGCCGGTCGCTCCAGTATGGAGGTGACTTAAGAGAACACAAACTGTCGGGGAGCCAGCAGTGTCCAGCGTGTGATTTCCAAAACAAAGGTCAGTGTGAATTTTATATGTGATCCCTGAGGAGGAAATTCATGAAAGCCAAGAAAGAATCCCTCCCCAGTGCTAACATGGAGAGAACCAGATGGAGTTGGGGTTCCCCCTTTAATTAACTCTAATCCCCTTCTCTATGAATATATGCCAAATTGCCTTTTCTTTAAAAAAAAACAAAACGTTTTCCATGTGTTGTTTTCCTCAAGAGCTTGTGGTGCTGGCATGTTTTCAATCGCCTGTTCTGTTCATACCTACGGAGGATCCAGAGGTGCCTTCTCGGTGTCATTTAGAATTCAGTCGTCAGGCATCTTGGGGTGTGAGGAGACATAAATTACGGACACGGTATTGGAACATGACCATGCTGTTGACTGATTCGTGCTTTTGCTTCTAACCTGGCTGTCTCTGCCACATGTCTGGCTCCACAGCTTTTTCCGCACTCGGGCCATGCCTCCCCCAGTCTCCCCGAAAGCAGGCTGCTCTACCCTTCCTCGAGCTTCTCTTGGTAGTTTTGTGCCTCCTTCACTCAAATTCTAGAAGCTCTCCATTTCAAGTGACCTCTGTTTCCAGGGAATGATAATGATCAACAGATCTGATATCTCCTTGGCTCATAGGTATGTACAGTCTGAAATACACAATATTCTTCTGACTCCTACTCCAGTGCCCTCCTGCTCAGTGAAACACCATGTGTTTCTGAAGAGGAGGCCTTTGAAACAAGTCAGATAGATAGATAGATGATAGACAGATGGATAGATAGATGGGTGGATACAAAGATAGATAGATGGGTGGATAGATAGATAGATGAGTAGATAGATAGATAGACAGATAGATAGATGGATAGAAAGATGGGTGGATAGATAGATAGCTGGGTGGATAGAAAGATAGATAGATAGATGGGTGGATAGAAAGATGGATAGATGAGTAGATAGATAGATGGGTGGCTAGATAGATAGATAGATGACAGGCAGATAGGCAAATACGTGATAGATGGATCAGTCTGTTGATAGGTAGACCTATCCATGAAAGAGGGGAGACATTGTGTATACGTTTGCATGTGGTGTTTTTGTCTTGTTGTGAAGACCAGGGAAGAAGCTATGATAAGGAGGGAAGAACAATTGGAAAGGGGGCGGGGAATTTGATCTGAGGCAGGGAAGTGAACAAAAGGACAAACTATATCAAAACATTTAAAATGGAAGCCTTGAAAGTTGAAGAAATTAAAACATTTTTGAAAATTAAGAAATTTTTAATCTAAAGGGTAGATGTAACAATCCCTTTCACTTCTGTCACCTTGAATAACTCTTAAACTGGCCAAGGAGGTTTCATTTCCTGGAAATGAGGTGGTAGCAAGATAGTATTTTGAAGACCCAGGAGTCCATCTCTACAGAAAATAAGTCTCTGAATGGCCTGTTTTCCTTTTGGGGCCTTATTTTGAAATTTCAGCCACTCTAAGCAGAGTTGACTACAAAGCTGAACTGAGTTGCAAGGGCAAAGGCATCTTTTGTCCACAACATTGATCTGTGTCCAGCTGTTATAACTGAAGTGATTTTTAAAGTTAATTAATATAAAAGCAGTCCATATTGATTAATAAAAAAGATAGAAAGCCGGGCGTGGTAGCTCACGCCTGTAATCCTAGCACTTTGGGAGGCTGAGGCGGGAGGATTGCTCAAGGTCAGGAGTTCGAAACCAGCCTGAGCGAGACCCCGTCTCTACCAAAAATAGAAATAAATTAATTGACCAACTAAAAATATATATACAAAAAATTAGCTGGGCATGGTGGCACATGCCTGTAGTCCCAGCTACTCGGGAGGCTGAGGCAGTAGGATCGCTGAGCCCCGGAGTTTGAGGTTGCTGTGAGCCAGGCTGACGCCACGGCACTCACTCTAGCCTGGGCAACAAAGTGAGACTCTGTCTCAAAAAAAAAAAAAAAAAAAGATAGAAAACACAAATAAGCAAAACAAAAATACCAATAATCTCACTACATTAACAGTTTGGTATTTATTCTCCCAAAGTTTTTTCTATGATAATGATATCTATTCTTTTTATACAAAAATGGGATCATATTATGTATATTGTTCTGTAATTTGATTTCACTCTCATTCACATATAAACATCGTTCCTTCCTAATAAATATGCTCTATCTTTTTAGTGGCTATATAGCATTCCATTGTCTCACTAGATCAAAAACAAATTTATTTTTTTTTTTTGGAGACAGAGTCTCGCTTTGTTGTCCAGGCTAGAGTGAGTGCCATGGCGTCAGCCTAGCTCACAGCAACCTCAAACTCCTGGGCTCCAGTGATCCTTCTGCCTCAGCCTCCCGGGTAGCTGGGACTACAGGCATGCGCCACCATGCCCGGCTAATTTTTTATATATATATCAGTTGGCCAATTAATTTCTTTCTATTTATAGTAGAGACGGGGTCTCGCTCTTGCTCAGGCTGGTTTTGAACTCCTGACCTTGAGCAATCCGCCCGCCTCGGCCTCCCAAGAGCTAGGATTACAGGCGTGAGCCACAGCGCCCGGCCTACAAATTTATTTTTGCTAATCCCTTTTGTTAAACATTTAGGCTATTTCCAGTTTAAAATTTTCATTTATTATAAACATTACTACATCTTTGCACACTTCCGATTGTGACTTTGCATAAATCCTAGAAGAGGATTGCTAGGTTGAAGTTTATGTAATTTTAAAGCTTTTATAGCCCTTTATCAAATTATCCCCCTTCCCTAGACATTTTGTACAATTTATATTCTCCCAACACTTCCCTTCAGGGAAATATCCTTCTCCCCACATCCTCTCCAACACTGGACATTATTATTTTCATTTTTCTGTAAGTCCAATGGGTAAAAATGGTATTGTATTTACTTTTCCTTTTTTTTTATTACTACAAAGAATAAACATTTTCAAACATTTAATTGGCAATTTTAGTTTCATCATCCGCTAAATTGCTTATTGATAGTTTTTGCTCATATTTAAAATGGGACAATTATCTTTTTATCAGTTGTGTATTAAAAATAATCATTTTTTGTTCAGCATATACATTGCAAAACTTTTTCCTCAGTTTGTTGTTTATCTTCTAATTATTGTGTTTTTATAAGTTCACAAAAATTTTGAGCTTTTAATGTAATTAAATCTATCCTTTTCTATAATAATATGGTTTCTGACTGGTGTGTCATAATACTTTCCTCCTCAAAGTGATATAATATTTTCATATATATATATATATTTTTTTTTTTTTGCTTTTTGCTTTCTTTTTGACATTTAAATTTATCTGGAGTCTATTTTACTATAAAGTGTAAGGTAGAGTTCTAAATTTCCCCCCAAATGTCAGTCAGTTGTCCCAAGACTATTTATTTATTTATTTATTTGAGACAGAGTCTCACTCTGTTGCCCGGGCTAAAGTGCTGTGTCATCAGCCTAGCTCACAGCAACCCCAAACTCCTGGGCTCAAGCGATCCTCCTACCCCAGCCTCCCAAGTAGCTGGGACTACACGTATGTGCCACCATGCCCAGCTAATTTGTTTGTATATGTTTTAGTTGACCACTACTTTTTTTCTATTTTTTTTTTTTTTTTTTTTTTTAGTACAGATGGGGTCTTGCTCTTGCTCAGGCTGGTCTTGAACTCCTGAGCTCAAACCATCCACCCACCTTGGCCTCCCGGAGTGCTAGGATTACAGGTGTGAGCCATTGCGCTCAGCCCCAAGACTGTTTACTGAATAATCCACTTGCTATGAAATGCTCATTCATATTTGTTCCCGGTGTGCACTGTTCAACTGCTGACTAAGCATGACGTGTTTCCTGCAAACTTCCCCACCACCCCCTGCACCCTTGCCGTTGTACAATTGCTCTTTATCTTTCTTTTGGAATTGTCCTGGCTATTTGAGCAGTTATTCTTCCAAACGAAATAAATGTGCATTGGGATTTTTAAGAGATTGGGTTGAACTTAAAGTGATAATTTTTACATTGTTGAGTCTTTCATCGGGAACACATTGGTTCAAGTCTTTTATGTCTCTCAATAAAAATTTGAACATTTTCTTCATTTTTTTCAGTTATCTCTGAGTAGTTCACATCTGCATTGCTTTTATGATAGTACTAATATTCGTATGTGCTAAATAATAGCTTGGTTAGCATAGCAGATGAGATCACTGGGTCAGAGGGGCTGAGTCTTAATCAGGGTCAGTCACTTTTTTGCTGTACGACTTGGGCAAGCTCAGCTTTCTTAACCTAAGTTTTACTTATCTCATTTCATCTGCAACCCGTATGTAACCATACCATGAATTTATTGTTGCTGTAAAGAATAAATGAGAAAATGCAGGCGAAACATTACAGGCCTGACACATGAATGAATATTAGTTATCCTTGTTTTGCAGATTTCACAGTAGCCAGCGTCTGTTGGCAAAACACTAGCTTGAATATCGTTTCAGGTATCCAAAGGCTTTAAGAAACCATCTTGCAAAACAAACTTTAAATTTCTAAGGAGAAGCATTTTGAAGACTCAGCATGAGACACTGTCTGGCAACAGGAATTTGTTTGGTTAAAGCACCAACAAAGAAAAAGGAGCTCAAGGTACGGTGCTCACTGCTACATCGCTGTGAACTGTGAGCAACATGACCAGCACTGCCATGTAAGGGACAGTCCCAATGTGGGCACAAGCTGCTTCACCTGTGGGGCATCAGGTCACTCCCAGAGCGTAGCCACGCTCACTGGTGGAGAGATGGCCATGAGACTTGTCATTATTAAGTCAGCAAGCCGGGATCAGGCGCACCACCAGGGCCTGGGAGCATTCATTCATTCTCTCTCTCTCTCTCTCTCTCTCCTTTACTTAGATATGTTCCCTGCTGTCTTTTTGGCTACTTATCATCTTAATAAAATGATCAAATAAACACAGATGTTTTCAACTCTGGCAAATCCTAGAGTTCCCTGTTAAAAATACCTTGGCAAACTGCCACAGAATTACAACAACAACAAAAAATGAGCGATCTCGCTTCAAAACTTTGTGGATCCCCTCAGTTTTAAGAGGTGCTGTTTTAGTAACTTATCTGTGACAGTGACATTAGTGATTCTTCTAGGAGTGTTATGCAGATATTTTAAGAATGTGAAACACCTTTCCCGAAAGCCTGTAGAATAACAGGCTGACAAATAAAAACAAATTTAATTGATTAAAAAGCATCGTCTTACTATTTTCTTTAAGAAGGCATGTAACTGGCGTGCTACCAGTTAAATGAGGACAGATGCAACTCGAATACCTTGTTTCATAACTGCCCCTTTGTTGGAGTCAGAATCAGATAAGTCATCTTTGTTCTCCTGACCCGTCTGCC